CTCTATCTCGACTGGGTTGGTGGCTTTTTCCAGTCTCACACGGCGATTGGCTTGTCTCACTGATTGCCAGCCGAGTCCGTAACTAATTTACTGTCTTTGCACCTGCTCGGCCAGTCGACTAATAAGCCTTATTAATAAGCAATTAAATATCGACTCTGACAGCCGAACAATCGACCCACGCAAATGAGCCAAAGCGAAACTCCAAATCAGCCGACGAGGAAAGGGGAAAATGGAAAGAGGAAAGCGGAAAGCGGAAAGCGGAAAGGGGAAGAGAGGCCATAGAGAAGACAACGATGAGGCTGGCGACTCAATTTAGCCAACTGAATGACTGATTAAAGCCCAGAGAAAGACAAGGGCGGAGAATTGCAGATAATGCGAAACAACGAAGTTTCAATACTCTCGCACAGTTTTACTAACATTGAATGTTTTGAATCAAATTGAAACTGAATATATTAAATATTGTCAAATATTGTTTGTTTTACTTGAATCATTTGGAATATTTTTAAGTATGATATGCAAATACAGCAATTAATTCTCCCAGTGCTGCAATTGAAACATATAAATATTTGATATTGATCGATTGATGGCGAATGCATTAAAGAGTGCTCAATGAGCGACGTGTAATACTCTTGTCAGCTCGTTAAGAGCCACAACTCGATCGGCACTTGCAAAAAGCGACATACGCAAATTAGCATTTCCCTTGTCTCAGCAGCAACAGTCGCCGGCAGAGCGACAGCACCAGCACCAACTGCAATGCCAGCGAGGGCAACAGCGAGAGAAACAGCAAGAGAAACAGCCAGAGAAACAGGCCCAATTCCAGAGTCGTCCGACTCATCATTAAAATGTGTGTCCGCTCGCCCAAAAACTTGATAGCGACATTGCCTCTCGTCCCCCGCCGAGTGCTGAGTGCGTCGACGTTGTCGTCAATGTCGCCACAAAGGAGCCGCCGCCGAGCTGAAAAATGCGAACAGGCTGCATACTCCCACTGTAGCAGACAGACGTAGACAGTAGACCGAAGACCGAAGACCGAAGACTGAATACTGAAGATGGAGCAAACTCTTCAGAATCTGCACCTGTCCTTTGCGCTTGTGCTTGTGCTTGTGCTTGTGCCTGTGTGCTGGGCACGTCATTTAAATTACATTAAATTGTTGCGCTGACAATGAAAGCGCTGCAAATAAATTCGTTAAAATAACTGCGTCAAAAACGCAGCCTCACAGCCTCACAGCCGCAGAGCTGCAGATTTGCTCTGGCCAAAGTGGAACAGTGAACGGGGGCAACAATCCCCGCCAGCAGCAACAGCAGCAATTTATGCGACCAAGACAGTAACTGTTGCTGCYGCTGCTGCTGCTGCGACTGTTGCTGCTGCCGTCGGGCATTTGATTTGCAACACAAACAATGACAACGGCAACAAATTTCATGAATGAAAGATTGTGCGGCCGCTGGACAGGAAGTGAGCTGCATAACGGACGCGGAGGTGGAAAGGATGTGGTTGCAGTTGCAGCCGTTGCTCTTGTTGATTGTTGTCTGTCGATAGGCGCGTTGTTTTGTCAGTGGGTTGCGCAAAAATGTTGCTCAATCAGCATGCATTATGCAGCTGATACCGGCCATTGGCCGTCGGCAACGAGGGTGGCTCCAGCAGTTGCGCGCACCGCAGCTCCAGCAAATGGCCACAAATTGCAGACTCGATCGCCAATTACGTGCTCGCAACTTGACATTGAGGCTGCTCCATATATGGCGAAGGCTGCCCATTTATATTGTAATTATGCTGCAGTCGGCGTTAATTTCATTGCCGCGCACGCACCTGCAAACAGTAGCTGCCAAAAGTTGCCGGACGGGGCCGCATGCTCCTGCCGGCAGTCCGACAGTCCGACAGCCCGACAGCTCGACAGCCCGGCAACCCTTTACCCTCTCGCGAATCATTTTAATTCAATTTACAAGTCGACTGAAATGTTCGGCCGGCTTCAATTGCTTTGAGGGTGCCAACTGGCATGGAATTTGTGAATGTGTTGTTGCTGTTGCTGTTACTTTGGCTGTGGTTGCTGTTGCTGCTGCTGCTGCCGCTGCCGCTGCTGATGCGGCTGGCTTTATTTTGGCACTGCTAAATTAAGATTCCATTAGCTGCCAACTCAGGCATCTTAGAAATGCATCGGAGAGGCAGCGATAAATCTCGCAAGTGTCAAATGCTGCAACAGTCGCTGGCATTGCCGCCGTCGCCGCCAGCAACATGCTCGCTAAGTGCCGCAACAATTCTCAATTCTCTCTAACAGCAGACGAGCAATTGAAACGTGTCGTAGACAATAAATTCCAAACTACAATAAATTATTGCTATAAATATTTCGCCAAAGGTTTTTCTCCCCTTAATCTGAGGCCAAAGTTTGAAGGCGTTGCTGCAGCAGCAGCCAGCAGCAGCCAGCAGCATCCAAAAAAACACCCAACTAGCTTCTTCTTCTTCTTCTTGTTCTTCTACGTCTTCTCCTCTATTCAGTTTCGACAAGTGACAGGCCAAAGTGACAGGCACTGCCAGGACAGGAGCAAAATTGAATTAGGAATTGAGAAAAAGTAAAGTGCAATTGTTGCCAGTTCATAGTGTTCCAGGGACAATGCCAATAAATCGCTCACACTTATGACAACGAGCAGATATGGAAAGATAGGGAGATAGCCAGAGAGCGGCACGCCGTAACTGCCAGCAACTGGGCACCAGGAGTTGGTCGAAACCGTAAGCCAATCCTTATAGAGTCAGCAAAATAAATCATCGCAGCCGCACAATGATGAAATTATTATTTATGCAGACTCGCTGCGACTGCGTGTGCTCCAGTTAAAGTTAAATTCACTTTTGCATACACTTACCTAAGAAGAGCTTGCTGATTATAGAAGAGCATTTGTAAGCATATGGGTTCGAAATATACTTCGGACAGGTTCTCTGAACAGATTGGAATGAAATTTGATAGATTTGTTTCATTACTTACTTCCAAACCATAAGATTCTTTATCAACCCCCATGATATTATAGAAATGTCAAATAAAATTTGATCAATTTGATTTCCTTACCTTTCTCTCCCTCTATCTCTCTCCTAGTCTTTATTCATTTCCTATTTTATTTTCTAAGCATTTATTGATATTTCATTTTCTCCATTTAGTTTATACTTTTTATATTACTTAACTATACTTAATTACATCTACGATTCCGGATTACCCCAATTGGCCTCATAATAATACTGAAATAGTTGAGGGCTTATCTTTAAGTTGACCAATATTTATTGAAAACGTATGTTACACAGTTTAGTGAGCTCTACGAAATCTGTTACCAGTCATTAATAAACAAAAATTTACCCTAATAAATTTTCAACTAAATAAGAGATAAAAGAAGTATCTCCTTGCTTTCTTATTTATGTATTGTTTGCATTCTGTTTTAATGGAGATATGTAATAGATGGGTGCTTAGAATTCCAGTGGGCTCAATCAATACTTGATATGGAAAGTGTCAGACGTGGAGTCAGGACTAGAATATTGCAATGGTCATGTAGCCTATTAATAAAACATTAATAATCACTAGTCTTGTATATTTCTAGTGTGTGTATATTTCTCTGACTTTTCTCGGAGTTCTTCTCGGACAAGAGGAAGTTTGAGATCTTACTGAAATTTCATCTGCAGTAAAGGGTATTTAGCTGTTGGTTGACTCTGGCAGCCCGTCTCATACGGCCGAACTTCAATTGCGACCTGTGGCAACCACTTGTTGCCGTGGCTGCCTTTGTCGCCATGAACTTATTGCATGCAACATTTACCGTATTAATAAATTATGAGTATTTATGTGCTGTCAGAAGTCGTGACGGCAGAGCGACACACAAAGTGATAAAATTAGCACAAAAATCTGTGCGTTTCGCAGTGCTTGGCGTTTCGGCTATTCGGGACAGACTCGTAAATAATGTATATGCGTGCGAGCTTATTGAATGTCTTCATAAGCGGGCGGGCAACAATTGGAAATTTATGCCCGCGACTTATATGGGCAACGGGCTGGACATGGAGCCACAGACAGACAGTCGGACAGTCGTACAGACGGACGGACGGACGGACGGACGTCCGTTCATAACTGTAACTGTAAGTGGTGCAGTCCGACCGATAGGAACAGGTGCAGGTGCACCCTGCTCGGACCGTCACTCAAGCAACATGTCCTGCAACAAGCCACAACAACAACAACAGCAACAACAACAATTACTACGGCAACAACTTGTCGCTTGACACTTGGCGCATTTGACACTCAACGCGCGCATTCACTTTAAATCTAAATTTACTGATATCTGCGTACAAAATAGTATCAACAGCGGCGACAGCAGCAACAACAGCAACAACCACACAAACAGCAACAGCAATAGCAATAACAACAACTGCTACAAGCCACAGACAACAACAGCAACAAGTCGGCCAGCATCGAGAAACGAACGACCTTAGAGGTAATAAACATAAATAACGCCATTGAAAGCGACGCAGGCGCAGCTGAGATCGGTCCAAGACTGAGTCTAAGATTGCAATGGACTTGGCGGGGCCGACAGAGACGGCAGAGACACAGCAAGAGGGAGACTTGTCCGGCCCGGCCTGGCCTGACTTGGCCAGCTTGTTACTTGTTACTTTGTTGGCCAAGAGACTTCGCCGCGATCGCCACTTGGAGCCGGGCTGGGGCTCGGCTCGGCTGTTGTCTATGGGCGGGCGTCACAAGAGCCGTCGAAGGTCAACAGATTGTCGGCCTGGTGTCTATTGGTGTCTCTCGATGGCAGCGGCTGCTTGCAATGCTTACAGTGGTTGCTGTGGTTGCAGTGGTTGCAGTGGCTGGGCAGGCGTACCCGCGATAATTGTTTCTTGTCCATTTGGCTATTTTGATTGCAACTAATGAACCCCTAATGAATAGGCAGCAGTCGAAAGCAATGGAATCTGTGAATGGGTTTTAAACAAGGCGCATTGAATCTAACAATTAGTTTAATACGAGGTGGTATTTAGGCAAACACGGTCCTTAAATCAATTCAAATAATCCTAGACTAAGCCATAGAATGAATGGTAGAGCCCTCTGGGCTCCCGAGAAGGCCTTCTGTATCCAGTCATTGTACGCAGCGATGGACACGAATAGGGCAGGATAGCGGCGACTGCACATGGCATCACGCATGTAAATGCCCGCCAGGTGGCCGCCGCAGAAGAGCGGCCCACCTGGATCGCCCCCACAAACGTTCTGCGAGGCGTCGGGCAAGGCCGTGGCGCAGAGCCAATGGGTCCTGTAGAAGCCCGGAAATAGGCTGAGGCAAAACTTTTGTGGCTGCAGCTGCAGGGTGCGTGGGCTCAAGAGTCCTGCAAGGGATTCATTGGTCTCCGCGCGCTCCCAGCCAAAGCGAGTGCACCTCAGGTATCCAGAGGACGGGAGAGTGGCGAGACTCGCGATGCCCAGGTTGAATGTAAGATTCAGTTCGAGGGTGTCCTGGTCCCGAATCCGGAGCAAAGCCAAGTCCAGGTTGTGTATGATGCCTGAACTTGCCCTTGGGTACACCGACTGCACGTGCATGAGGCGAGCGTGCTCCGTGGGCTTCTGTCGATTGGGTGCTCCAGCGATGATCAGCAGCTCGTCGGGATGCATGACGCGTCTGCAGCGAGAGCCAAAGCATTCAAGCGAGCGCAGCATATAATCAAGGGTACTTACGATCTGTTATAAATGCAGTGTGTGGTGGTAAGCACAAAGATGGGCGCCACGATTGTGCCCACGCAGACGTGGTTGGTGCCAAAGTAGCGGGATCTGGGCAGCTTCGTCTGTATGGACACTATATACCTGGCCTGAGGATGGCTGCTGGGCTCCGCTGTCTCATCTTGGTCATGCGGCAAATAGTAGGTGGACACACCAAGTGCTATAAGCGAGCAGATGAGCACAATCTGCAGATGCATTACACTGTAAACAGCCTTGATCACTGCTGCCAAGCCTACTCGGACTCTGTCTGCCAGGCGAGCCCAGTCGCTTTCAGTCTGACGAAATGTCAACAAAGGCAACAAGTCTATCTCGATCCAGATAGCTGGCAGACTGACTGACTGACTGGTTGGCTGGTTGGCTGGTTGGCTGGATGGCTGGATGACTGCCTGACACCCACATGGCTGGGCAATAAGCACACAATTTGCATAAGCTGCTCAAGCAGACAGCGGACGGCAGACAGCCAAGAGCCAACAGCCAGCAGCCAACAGGCAACAGCCAACAGCTAGCAACAGGTAAGCCGGGTCATGGCAGCCCGCAGCGGTTGCGGGAGTCAGAGTCAGGCAACATCTTCAGTCTGCCACACTTTTGCAGCTGCGTTGCACAGATAAACAGAGAGGAGGGGAGGAGGCAGATTGGATGAGTGAAGAGAATTGCACGACAAGCCGGTATTGCAATACCCTTGCGACTGTGACTAGATGGCTCATAATTATATATACATTTTATTTAATATTTATTTTTTATTTTTCAGCTATGAGCTACAAAGATTATAAAGCCCTGAGGTCATTATTACTAAGCTATATAATTTACTTTAATTAACAAAAATGACGATGATTTTAAACATAAATTAAAGTTTTTTATTTATTCATTTAATTTATTCATTTATATTGAATGTATATTTCTTATATATTTTACATACCATTTATATGTATATAATATTCATTTATCATCCTAAAATACATACATAGTTAGACTTAACAAACCCAAGGTTACAATGTAAAGGTATAAATTACAGGAAATGTTAAAGCAGGCGTAAAAGTTCCTCTTTAATAAATTGTTGATTTTAGTTTTATTTTATAACAACATCAAATGCTAAAACAGGCGTAAGAGCTTAGCTTCAGTTAATTAATAATTTTCATTAAACAATAAATAGAATAAAAGAATAAATTCAAAGAGCAAAGCTGAGGTTTCCTGTAAAGTTCACAGATTCATGGCAAACTTCTTGGTCAATGGGATCCGAGCATATGTAGAATAATCAGAAAACAAAGAGAAAATGGAAAATGGTGTAAAATAAAAGGAATTACCTGTGCTCTGGGGGTTCAGCTCAGCGCACAAGACATAATAAAAATCTCTTTTATGGCACTTAAGTGTTTTGTGTGCGGATTGTGGGTAGCATTTTGCCTTGGATGCTGGATGTTGGATGTTGGATGTTGGATGCTGGATGCCGGAGCTGCTGCTGCTGCTAGCTAGCTAGCTAACCCCTTCGCCTGCCCGGTTGCTGGCCACGATTTATGCGAGTTGGGCCAAAGTAAATTGAGCATAAAAAAGAGCCAACTCTGCGCTGCATTTGATGATGAAGTGCTCAAAATAATGCGAGCCACGAAAATTTACTAAGTGCAAGCGGTGAATTTATTAGACAAAACTTTGCTGTTTACGAGCTGTTGCTGCACGCTTATCAAGCCGCATCAACTGGCTAACTTATGGCCCCAGTTGGGTAACAGGTGCAGCCTCCGACCACGCTTAGATCTCGCTGTTGGACTTGAGCCAGGGTCCGGTCAGCTCGGTAGCCGCTGCCTGCGGTCAAACAAACTTTTTAAGTTCAAATCACGAAGGAAAGGTGCGCTCCCACGATGCTGGTGCAAATTACACACATGTACACTCACACACGCACACACACATATGCTGCAGTGTATGTATTTGCTTACACAAGAGTTGTGAGAGGCAGCGGCAACTGGCAACATTCAAATCCCATCAGCCACGCATGCAATCATCATGATCATTATGAGCGGAAATGCAGGAAAAGTAGGAGGTTTTTAACAGCCACCGAACGACCAGCCAACAGCCACCAGCCACCAGCCAACAGCCAGCAGTCAGCAACGACCACCGACCGACTGAGAGACCGACGCTTTTTTGTCTCTGGCAAGTTGGCATCCTGTTCCAATCGCATTCGCACCGTTCATTCTCTTGGCGGCGGCACTGCCACCATGGGCATAAAAAGGCGCACAAAACTTTGCGGCATGCAAAAAGTGGCGACGCCGCCAACGCCGCAGCGGCAGCTGAAGGCAGCGAAAGGCGGCTGAAGGCGACTGAAGGCGGCTGAGGGCAGGGGAGCGCAGCAGCGGCATTTTATGTCGCCAGCAACAACAGCAAATGACTTTAATTGCATTTCTCGGCGCACTTTTTGCCTCACAACCAAAGCCGCAGCCCCAACTTCTGTCGCCATCTCAGTCTCAGCCTCAGCCTCAGTCGCTGTCGCCGTCGCCGTCGCAGTTAGCTAGAACAGACAATGCGGCGGCGTTGCAACATTAACTAAAATTAGCGGCGTGGCGGCAGAGTTACTTTTTGTTGTTGCTCTGTGCGATAATCTTGATATAAATAATAATTAAATGGATTAGCGGGCAATCGACAAAGCATTAGACGCTGATGCCGCAGCACCTCGCGCGCAGTAGCTGCCACTGCAGTCGCAACGCCTCGAGAGATCAGCGCTGCAGATTGGCCTAAGCAAACAAAGGCCAAACGCAAGCCAACACTTAGAGCACGGCAAGGCGGGAGGGCGGCAAGGAAGCGAACCAGGTGAGTGCACGCTCAATTAATTAATGGTAACCATGAAAGAGCCCGAAAAGACTTTACCTATGCCGCTGAGACGACAAGAGCAACAGCAACAGGGGCTGCGACTGCGACCGAGACGTCGACTGCGACGTCGACAGCTGCTGCGCTGCGGCTGCGGCTACGGCTGAGAGATCACTATCGAAAGTACATTTTACATGCGTGTAGTTAACATACAAAGCGACCGTTCACACGGCCAAGCCGCAGTCAGGCAGTCAGGCAGTCCAACAACCAGTTGAATGGTCCAACAATCCCCAATTCCAATCGAATCGAATCTCAATCTCGCCTGCACATGCGCAACTTTTTGGCAATTGGTTAAGCCAATGCCTTTCCATTTTTTGTATACCCTTTTCAGCCGCAAGTCCACACTGACTTTCATCTAAAGCCTGACACTTCTGATCACTGATCCGATCTGATCAATGGGGCACGATGCCTGACTCTCTAATGACTGAATTATAAAACTAGTCAAGCCTTAGCTGCTGGCCTTTTCAATGATATATAGATTCATAATAATTAAATTATAATAATTTTAGTAATTAAATAAACACACATGATTCAGGGCTCATGACTTCGAATTGTCTTTATAGTTGCCTTTATATTAATAATAATACTGAATAGTTTATAGTAAAAAGCATAATTGAAACTATAACAAATATAATTCTCAAGGACTTAAAATTGCTATAATTACTGTGAAAACATAATGCAAAATATGAATTAGAATTAAAAAACAAATAAATATATTAAATATTCATGTCTTAATAAGAGGATAAGTCTCAACTTATTCATTCCGTAAGCAGATTTCGAAAAGTGTCTGAAGTCATGGGAATCATATGATAGCCAAGCCCAAGCGATACTTGGTCTATCAACCTCCCAGAGTGCGCATTTGAGCGTCGACTTGCCCATGCCAACATTTTCTGTAGCCATTTTAGTAAACACCTTTCGCCAAGTTGGGGGGCTTCTTCTGCTGCTGTTGCTGTTGTTGCTGTTGCTGTTGTTGTCGGTGTGAGAATTTGCTTAATGAATTTCTTTAGCTTTATCGCTTAATTTGTGTGCCTAATGAAGTTGGCTATTGGTGGCTGTCAAGAGGGCAGCGCAGATTGCACATACGTCGCGAGGTCCCAGCAGATTGTGCGCTCAGTTTTCGGGCCTTCAGCGTGCCGCAATGTTTGCACTAATCCCCATGCAAATCCGCGCGGCTCAGCACTGTCGAGCTGGCCATATAAATAAAATAAAATGCCATGCGACGCTCTTAAATATATTTTGGTAATTTTTTCATCCTTGTTTCCTACTCCCTACTCTACATAATTGCAGAGAGTTTGGCTCAGCCGTCGCGTCATCGCGTGTTGCGCTAAATACAAAAAAAAAAAAAAAAAACAAATAAAATAAATAAAAAAGGCGGAAAATTAAATTTTTATTTATGTGCTGCCACATTTTTTATGCCGCTGTCGTTCTTTGTACTCAACTAGACTAATTTTTGTGATTTTTTTTTGTGCTTCTAGCATTTTTTATTCGATTTCTTTTATTTTTGCCTTGCGCGACTCGTGGGCTAATATATATTTGGCGCTAGTCGCAGGGGGCGGCAATTTGCGCAAAGTGGATAATGTGCATTATGGTAGTTAAATATGTCATAAAACACTTCATACTGTAGGTTTCCGACCCGACCCGACCCGTCGCCTCTGCTGAAAGCTGTCGACTCCTCCTGGCCGTTGTTTGCCAAAACGAATACGAATACGAGCACTGTCAGTTACTGAGTGACAGTGCTCGGCAGAATGCCATGGCAATTACGCTTGGGCTGGGGCCTGGGCTGCACTGTGGCTTGGGTGCGCTGCATTTCATTAGAAAACTGACATTTTTTCTTAAATAGTCATGCGATGGTTGTCAGATTTCAGGCAGCTCGCAAAACGAATATAATAGTCGCTTAAGTTAAAAATTTTAATAGACGTGGCTGAGCTAGCTGGAAAAGAAGTTACAATTTAATCATATATAAATTTCTTGATATGTATATATTTGTATGTATGACGTGCTAACAAAAAAAAAAAAAAAAAATTTTCAAAAATAGCCAAATTTTTCAAAAATTGTTTTGTTTTATTTGCTCAGATGATATTAAATATTTCACTTATAATATATTTTAATATAATCATATATTTTTTCCGCTGCTGGTCTTCAAATTAACAACATTCACTAGGATAGTAGCTATCTCTCTTGAAAATGGCTTCATGAATTAAATTTCCTTTAAGGCCAAATCTCCAAAAAAGTCAATCGAGTTCCTGATCTTTTGAAAATGATCTGCTTGGGAAGTGGGTTGATATCGGAGTACCTAAAGCTAAAATATTAAATTGGGGGTGATTCTAATGATGAATCGATTAAATTTTAAATTC